CAGCCCATTTGCAAGAAGAAATTATCCTGTGCAACAATGCAGTGTAATTAACTTACCCAAATCAAATTTGATGTTTTATTATTGATTGATTTCAGCCTATATACTGAATATATAGGTGAGGTGGCTAGCAGCGAGACAGGGTTGGATGGACATCCGCCATTAACAGCGGCCTTGAGTTGTCTCTACTATTATTATTATTATTATTATTATTATTATTATTAATAATAATAATAATAATAATAATGTTGGTCACACAGCCAGATGTTTAGACTGTATTTGGCATTTTATCCTTGGGAAGGACCTGGGATAGGCAGATGTTGTCTGATGGTGTTAAATTATTATGGTTGGTCACACAGTCAGCCAGATGTTTAAACTGGATTTGGCATTTTTATCCACCTATCGAGTCCTTCCCAAGGCCCTGGGATAGGCAGATGTTGTTTGATGGTGTTAAAGGCATCGGCACAGGATATAATCTGTTCCAAGTAAAGCTGCCTTTTGCAATTGACTGATGGTGATTTTGTCAATGCCGATGGTCTTCACGTGGTGCTCCAGATGTTTTGGGATTGCACCCAAGGCGCCTATAGCTATTGGTACTATCTTTGCTTTCTTTTGCCACGGCCGTTCTTCTATTTGCAGGTCTTTATAGTTTGGGATTTTCTCCAGTTCTTTCTCTTCTCTTCTGCTGTCTCCAGGTATTGCAATGTCCGCTATCCAGACTTTTTTGTCTTTCTTATGAACAATTGTTAAGTCTAGGGTGTTGTGTGGCAGGTGCATGTTTGCTTAAATTCTAGTTCTAATTCTAATTATTATAAAGGTGCATGTTTGCTTAAATTCTAGTTCTAATTCTAATTATTATAAAGGTGCATGTTTGCTTAAATTCTAGTTCTAATTCTAATTATTATAAAGGTGCATGTTTGCTTAAATTCTAGTTCTAATTCTAATTATTATTATAATTATTCGTAGTACTATTAGTTAAAGTAGTATTTATTAAATTGTTTTCATATAATAAATGTTTGGGGGTCAATGAACAATCTGAAACTTCATGAAGGGTTTGATAAGCTGAAGAGTTTGGGATAGAACATTCTTAACAAAGAGGGGAGGGGGGCAATATACAAGGGTCCCAAATTTGTGTATCTTCTATCTAAACGTCAGACCACTTGAAAGAAGCCCCTGTCGATGGGCAGATCTATAATGGAAGGGAGAATTCTTAGGTGTTGAGGTCATAAAGCCATGCAGAGTTTCACAGATCCAAACCAGCACATTGAACTGGATTAGGAAACAGATCAGGAGCCAATGAAAACCAAATACAGTGCCCTAATATATTCATAAAATTTGGCCCCAGTTAGCAGTCTTTGCAGCTATCTTCTATGCGTGCTGCTGAATTTCTGGGCTGTTTTCGTTCTTCAAGTTCTGGTCATACAATAATGCAGAGAACTATGCAAGCATGAACTGAATCCACAAAGATTGTAGCTAAGATACTGTAGTTAAAAGCTAGTTAAAAACTAGTTAAACAACTTAAAAAGCCTTGTGCTCAGACGTGGGCGTGAGAGAATTGCATGTTTAGCTTCTTCACCAGTCTGAAGGAGGGGGAGTGGCATTTCCCACATAAAATCAGAATAAAACTTTAATGTTTTATTTACTTGCTTGTTATATTTATATCCGGCCTTTTATTTAGGAGCTCAAAGTGGCAATATGCATTATTATCATTAAGAAATATAATATGTGCTGTAGGATGCCTAGAACTGGGATTATAACTAGCCTGTATGTGATATGTTGGAAATACTTTGAACATCTGAAACAGGTTTTATTAAGCTAAAAGCACATGCTAGCCCATATTCAGGATTTTCCATGGGAGAGGAAAGCTGTAAGCCTCTACGCCAGTGCTTCTCAATCTCAGCAACTTTAAGATGTGTGGACTTCAATTCCCAGAATTCCCCCCAGCCAGCATTCGGGGGGAATTCTGGGAGTTGGAGTCCATACATCTTAAAGTTGCTGAGGTTGAGAAACACTGCTCTACGCACTTCCAAGTTCCCCGTGAGTTTCATTTAGTTCAGTGGAACTAACTTCCAATTATAGGATTACAAAACTACGCACATTTTAACTCTGTGAAAATACATGTTTAATTTGATCGAACCGTGTGTAACCACGACTATTACTATTCAAAATAAACATTCTACTGAGAAGCAGAGATATTGCTGGGGTTTTTAATAGTTAATAGAAAGATGTTCAGCAGCTTTAGCTTGCATTAAAAACTACACCTACTGAAATCCAGTTGTTTTTCCTTTTTTAATTTCAGTCAGAATTTGAGTTGTAAAGGCTTTGCTTTCCTTTTTTGTTAAATCTAGCTATTCTACTGAGAATTGACTTTGGCATGGCTGATACCATAGCTACAATGTTTTCTCAGTTCCCTTTAGTCATTAATAGTTAGAATAGGTTCCTCCCAGGTAAACACCAAGAATAATTTATTCACTACAAGTTAAATTCTCTTCTTTACTGAACCCTTTAGTGGCCCCTTTCACAACTCATCTGGAAACTGGAATATCTATTTTTCTTAAGTCTTATCCTGCTGCAGGCAGAAGCAAAAAAGTAGTTTATTAGATTAATTTATTAATTTATTGGTGCTGGCCCAATGGTAAATGTTATACTGTAGACCTCCTCCAGCTGAAATCAGTTATTTCTCTGCTCAAATTCACAGGTTTGGCTGCCAGATTTACAAAGGATGTTGATAAATCAGGGAGCATTCAGAGAACAGTGACCATGATGAGGAGTGGCGTAGAAAGCAAATCCTATGACAAATGCTTGAAAAAGAGGTTTAGCCTGGAGAGACCTCAATAACAGTTTGAGTGGAGAAAGGACCAGGGGGGTTCCAAAGCAAATCACGAATCTATGACCTGAAGCAGAAGCGATCCAGCCCCATGTTCCATATCCTATAATCTGTCCGGTAGATTTCCTGTGTGTCTTTCATAAACTGTTTATGATGTGCTGTTGTGCTTCAATTCTAGGAGTTGAATTTCACACACTTTGAAGCTGCCAAGGTTGAGAAACCCTGAGTTAGGCTATAGCAATTGTGGGCTGGAGCTGGCCTGTACCAGCTTGCAAGAGCTGATGGTTACGTTTTTGGGAATCTGGCAAGCTGGATGAAAACAGCTGAGTTGCAATGCCTCGTGTGCCAATCAACTGTTCCATCAGCTAGCGGTGTGGCACGGTGGCGGCAATGGAGTTGGCACAGCCAGTTCTTTAACATTTACCAGCACCCCTCTGGGCTATAGTTACAGAACCGTGCATGTCTGATTGCATTTTTATGTCCCTCCTTCTTATAACTCAGGGAATCAGGGAGCAGCCAACCTGAGTCTCTTCCTAATACTTTCCCTTCTCCTGGGCTGCCCTTTTTTTTTGGTAATGGTTTCTGAGCAGTTTTACCAAGGTCATCTCCATGACTCCCTACCAGGGCACTGAGTTGGGGAAAGCTTTGTTTAAATTAACTATCTGTTATGAACCTCTTCCCATCAATGTGCAGGTGTGTGCTTCATCTCTACTGTTTTGGTGACCAGCAACATCAATTTCTTTCCACCTTTTTTTCTTTATGTCCATCCTTCTACCTGAAATACCACCCCAACATTGCCTGCAAAACTCTTCTTGCATTCAGCTCGCAATTCATTTGCAAACCCGCAAAACTCACATCTCCCATTCCAGGCGCCCACCCCTTCCTTCCCCTGCATTTTGTTCTGTCTGAAGGATTCCAAACCTGGCTTGTCCTTTTGAAACAGATTCTAATGGGGTGTGTTAAAAACCTGCCTTGTAGATACCGGATTGTTTCCTCTCTATTTGGGTAGGTTAATGCTTTTTTGGGGGGGTGGGATTTGGCTCATGTGGTTTTAACATCTTTTTAATTGCATAAGATGTTCGTGCCAGATTTCCCTAATTTGGTGCCCCAAATTGCCCATTAAATGCACAACTACAAATATTCCTCTTACTGCAGAGCCGTCAAGAAAAAAACAACACCACATTGTTTTCCTTGTTTCACTGCCTGCCATTTTTATTGAACTCTTCAGTTATGGATAAATAGGATTTTCGAGATCATGGGAAGGAAGCAAATTAAGCAGGGATACAGCAGAGCAGAAATAGAACTTCTCAGTCGCAGCGCACAAATACACGTAGCAGGAAACACAATGGCACTCTTGAAACCCACACATTTCTAGACATACCTCTTCATGCCCCAGGGGAGCGCAATGTGGAAGGAAAGATCCAGCACTGGGAAATGAAAGAAAATAAGCCCATTTTGGAGGGATCAGTTCTTTGGACTTTACAGCCCCTTTGAAAACAAACACAAAGCAAAAAACCCAATTAGTCCTCAGGCAGAGAGGGCGTGTTGCGGATCCCGTCAGCGAGGGATTGTCTGCTGTTGCCCCAACCCTACCCTCCCGGCTTTCTGAAAAGGTTTAAAGGCCTGGCTCTGTCAGTGTGCATGGGGTGAGATGGGCCCTACCTGACCCTGGGGGTGGTTAGGCCCCTGATAACGCTCCCTGGCATTATTATTTATTTATTTATTATTAAATTTGTATGCCACCCACCTCCTCTGATGGGTGACTCTGGGCAGATGACTTGCCAATTTTCTATCTTCTTGGAACTTATTTATTTTTAGGATTGTTTTTATGTTGTATTTTAATGAATTTATATCTTCTGGTAAACCGCCCAGAGTCGTTTCACGAGATGGGCGTGGCAAATCTGATAAATACATAAATAAATAGATGAATGAATGAATGAATGAATGAATGAATGAATGAATGAAT